CACACAGGTACGAGTTCACCCTCGCATCCCTGATATGCTGAAATCTTGATCCAAAGCATGGCAAAATCCCAGTATCTCTTCCCACAGGCACTTCTGAAATCTTATCTTCATAAATAGAAAAACCACGCAGACAACATTTCAACCCCTTTATTTTCTGAAAGCAATTATTTTTGCTTTTTGCTAGTTTCCACGATGTCAAGCTATCATTCTGTATTTTTGTAATTAGTGTACCTCTCACAGGAGTGAATCTGACAGAAAGAGAGACTTGCACAAAAGAGCAAACAAAACAATCTGTCCACCACTTTGCATAGAGGGAACTAGTAAAAAAAAAAAAAGTTTAATATTTGGCTTTTTTGTCTGTATGTCACTCATGGCTGTGAAAAGTATTCTAGTGCATTGGTTTTATATTTCCCCATTTGTCTGAGATGGTCTTTAGCTGAGGGAAAGGGTGTGTGTGTATGTTTGTATATTTATGTGTTTATACGTACATATATGTGCACATACATGTACACACCTGTGTATATATGTATATATAAGCACACAAATACACACACAGGTGCATGTATATATGCATGTGTTCATATATATGCGTGAGGGTGTATATGTATGGGATTCAGCTTAGGTTGTGTTAAACCCAGTTTCCAGTTACAGCAGGAGATGCTGTTATACCCATCTGTCTCAGCTTTAGCAACTGAACTGATTTAAAGCCAAGAGCCAGTGGACTTACACAGCTCATCCACAGGGACTGCTTACAATTCTGAATTGCTGTTGACTGATGGCATATTGAAAGTCATTGCCATTGTTCGATCCATGATGTATTTGTTAATGATATACAAGGTTTCACTCTGACAAGGAATCAATAACGAATGCTTTATGCTTTAACAGCATAAAGCCGTAAGGATTGCTTTGTTTAGAAGAATGTCCTATTCTACTATCGTTCTCCAGCAGTGATCCATATGGAGTGTTACTAAAAAGGAAAACAACTGTGAGTGAAAAAAATATGAAATACTACAGACATAAATCTTCACTTCTGTTTTCCTACCAATATGGCCTTTGTTATCTGGTCTATGAAAAGACTATGAAAGATTAGTCACTTATAAACCATTGTTTTTATCATTAGCTTTTATTTTCTCTAAGGCAACCTTTATTTTTTCCTTCTTTTGTATATGTCTTAAATGGTTGACCTATATTTTTATTAATTTCAATTAATATTTTTGGATTCCTATCTCCTATGTATTGTCTTGGTGAAATAGGTTACCTGAAATTTTTCAGTATATACAGTTAGAGTAAATTACAAATTTGTAACTGATCTTATATTTCATTAGTGTTATTTCTGTCCTCTTCCTTACACAACCTGAAATGCTGTTCTTTTTTTTGACCTGTAACATCTTTTGTCCTCAAGCTTCTCACCTAGAAGTCTCTGAAACCCTCAAGTTTTTCTAAACGTGGCTAAGCTGAAAATATTTTTTTAATCTAGCTCACTAGTAAATATATTAAATATAAGTTCTGCCAGGACCACACTTTTAAGCTTTTGAAGTATTAAAAATTTCTACTCTTTGTCATCTCACTCTTTAGTCTTTATCTAGAACATAAACCACCTGTTGTTATTTCATTTTTTTTCATAAAAGGAGGAGTAGGTGCTTTATCAGTAGTTTGGGGTTTTTTTAATCAATACTACCCTGATTATTCCCTATAATGTAATATTAATCCAACTTTTATTAGCCATTGTGTATTGTGGGAAAAAATTGAAAAAGAGCCCCCACCATCAATCACTTCAAATGCACCATCTCAGAGGCTCACTTCAGTAGCTTAAACATGACTAAACCCCCCCGAAGTACTATAAAATCCTTGGCAGTACCTGCATCTCTCTAGAAGCTTTCAGGAGGGAGGCAGCCGTCTCCTCTCCAAGTAGTTTTCTTAATAACATGTTTCATTTTCATATTCACACTTGTTCATAGATCAACTCTGTTACAGGCAAGGGACTGTCAGAATTTCTCAAGTGCAAAAACTTAATTAATTTTCTTCCCCCTTGTCAATCTCTTACTTTTTAATTAACTCTAATCTATTGTCATTGCTACTGAAAGGATATTTATAAAATTTCTTGATATTTACTTTGCATGTTAGGGTGTGTTTTCAGTGTTCTCTGCTGAGTGAGGTAATTTTTATTATGTCGAGATTTAAGCAGCTATAGGGTGAATTCAGATTTACTCACCATTTTCTTAAGAAAGTCTGTCCAAAAAAATGCCTCAGAACATACTATTTAGAGATTTTTTTTCTCTTTTTATTCATGATTCCTTTGCTTTCCTAGACACAAATAGCTTATCGTACCCTACACCAATGTTATCAACCATAATATATACTAAAAAAAAAAAAAAAAAGTTGCAGAAACACCAGCAAACCTTGTAGGAGTTTCTTGTTGAAGGCATGTTTGCATTCATTTTCCTATGAGCAAAGCTCATGTCCATATACTAGTGATTTTTTCACCTTTTTTCACTAATATGTTGGATTGTCTGACATGTAAAAAATATTCTATCTAGGCTTGACAGCTTCAAAATCTTCAAGGGCTTATGCTAAACAGGAAACATTTCAGAGGAAGAGTTATGTTAAAATTTAAAATAAACAAAATTGCTGTTATCTTGGAAAGAATCTTGATGACTTAAACCCTCATTTATCTTCATTCCATTTAAATGTATCAGTTTTAATAGCAAAACAACTAGAGACATTCCAATGTGAACAAATTTTAAAGTAATGACCAAAGATTATCAATATTTTATTGTATTTCACCTTTTAATTTCTTCACCTATGGCATCGTTAATCCCACTCCTGAAGGGACTTTAATTTAATTACAGCAGAAATTTCAGTGCTGGGTAAATCTCTACTTAAGACTTGTAACACAAGATCTCTTTGGTTCAAAAATCTACTGTGTAATTAATTCTATTTATGCTGTTCAACTCTGTTTTCCCTCATATTAAAAAGCATATCGGCAAAGAAAATGACATTATTGCTGGCATAAAATGACAGCGATGAATGTAACAAGCTTTTCCGTACCTTGAGAGGCATCTGAATTCCCCATTCAAGGAATTATTACATGTATCCCCACTCAGGGATTATATATACCTAAAAGATCTAGCAGTTTAGACAAGGGAATAGTAATAGGGAAGTCCTAACTGTAATGTAGTTTTCATCTGTTACTATTTCCTCACCCATAACAGACAATTATAATTACTTACCTGTTCCATGGGACCACTATAGGAATAAACTTCACTGTCTGTGATGAGAAAAAAGCAAGCTAGGTAAGTGTTAAGTTGTTAAATTTACAGCCACATTAAACTATTACAGGGATGATGGGAGTATGGGATTCACTTAGCTATGATAACTTTGTTTTGTTCCATTTCATCAACTAGGCTAAAAAAACCACTGGTTTTTTTTTTTTAGGAAAACCATGAATATTTTAGGAAAAAATACAAAGTAGTTATCTCTGACATCTGTATTGACAGGTTGGCAAGACGTGTTTGGGGAATCGCAATAATTCAACATCTCGTTTGAAGACAGCAGAAACAGAGACAAGCTTTCAGGTATTCTGTTTCTGAGGAATTCTCGGGTTTTTATTAAAAGGTCTTGTAAAGCATGCAATTACTTGAGGTATATTTACACATTCTACACTAATGCTTTTGAAATGGAACTGCTTACTCAGTTCAGACTTCGACTGTACCTGATTGCAATTCATCTGTTCAAAATGGCTTCTGGTTGGTAACAATTTGCAAAACTATTTAATACTTGAAGAACTGGAATATCCTAGTAGTCAAATAACTTAATTTGATAACGTAATGTCCATAGCACTGGGAACAGGAGAAGAGAGAGATTTCCAAAATAATTATGTATCTGCAATTATGTGAAGCTGTATTCAGCCACGTTACCAACGGAAAAGTCTTAAGCAAGTTGTACACCTGAGCTCTTCATGTGATAGACCAAGAGAGAGAAAGATAAAAATCACCATGATTATAAAGCAGCATCGGACTTGTATGGTTTTGCACTGTCAAAGATTGTTAAATATGCTTCCTTTAGTAGAGATCAGAATCCTTTTCTAGAGACAGTTGACGAATATTATATTCTGTTATAGGAGTTTAAGACTGGTACATCAGTTTAACAGAAATACAGCTCTGTGTGCACTATTGCCATGGATTTTTAACATACTTTTTTATTTGCTTATGTATGTGCATATCATGTATGAAGTGCTTACACTGATGCTCTTTTCACCTTCAGCAGAAGTTGCACAGCCCTCCGTGGAGTAAACCTGAAGATAAAAAATCACCAGAAAGAAACGAGAAAAAATTTGAAGAGTCTGTTAGTACAAAAGAAAAAAAACTCTAAGCACTACTAATCTACATTAAAAATGCCCATCACTTGCTTCCATCTTCATATTCTTTTTAGTCCAGAGGCATGAAATGTACCAGGTTTCTAAAGCATGCGTTTTTCACTATTTTATGAATGTTTGTAAATTAGACTAGAATAGACCAATTAGTACCTTTCAGCAATAATCCAAAGTGGATGTTTGAAGAAATGCTTTGTAATACAGTCCGGTTTTTGAACTATTGTTCTACTTGATCAGTAACTGCATACTACAGCCATTCTCAAGTATTTTCTCTGTTCTATTTCATGTACCTTTATGGCAGATTAGGTTTTAAATCAAGTTAAGAATTAAGGGGCAGTTAACGTGGGGAAAAAATACATGTGTAAACATAGTTGAAGTACAATACAACTCGTAAGAACAACTGTAAAAACGGAACAGGTCCGTGTATACTTACCTTTCAGTAATACCATTTCAAATCTGCTTACTTAAACAATAAAAGATGCTTGGTTGTTTTTTTTCTAACTGCTATCACAAGTAGTCCATTTCTGAGCACTGAAGCGTTGACAGAAATGCAGAGTTAAAGGGATGGAGACAGAGTGAGTCATGGCTTTTAGGATTCAAGCAAAAATTTTTGCAGGTGGAACGGAGTTAAAATTTGATAGCTTGGGTGCCAGTCATAGGAATTCAGTTCCATCCCTTATATTTGTGCTGATCTCAACGGGATAAATATACTTTAAATGGTAATACCCCACTTTGTCCACTACAGGTGGCCCATGGGCACTACAGCAGAGAGGAGCATTTTGGTTGGGGTAAACTCTGTGACTCCTAGGGTTCTTCCAGTTTCTCATGGGTCACGTACTCTATGACAAGAAAGCAGAAAGAAGGGGAGGAGAAGGAAGAGAGAAGATTTTGCTTCTTTGTGTGTATGTCATTATTGGTCTAATTTAGGAATTCGTATGCCTCATCTTGTTGAGATGCAAATCTTTCAAGAACTAGTGCCTTAGGAACAGTTAATTGCCTGATGCAATGCTTTTATGCTTTCCTCTTGCATGAAGTGTTTTAAGCAGTTGTAACTTGTAAACTCCCACCTTCCTCTTACTATACACAGCAGCGCATTACGACTTTTACTAGATTGAAAGTAGTTTACCTATATTAGTTTGCTTTTCTTTGCTTTTAAATCAGTTTAAGAAGCAAACAGACAAATCTTTTATTTTGTTTAGTGGTGCTCTCTGCTTCAGTTTTAGCTTTTAAGATTTTACCTGTCCTTCAACAGTCTCATCCAATAGCTGTCTGTTCCTTGCTGGTGTGAATAATATTTCACGCTGACGTCTTGTATATGCTCCTCTACTCAAATGTAGATATTGCAGAATGGTAGGTTTCTCTGTCTGGACAAATTACAACAATTTTAAAAAGAAAAGAAACTCATGAGCTGACCAAATGATGGCACAGTACTGCTCAACAAAGTCGCACTACTATCAAGGAAAAGATTATCCATGTTAAGTGTCAAAAGACGTGAAATCCTGACCACAAAAATAATCAGAAAAGAGATGTGGCTTTTCACATCTGATTCTAAAATCAATCACCATCAAATCATACCTATCAAATACAATATGAATTTGTCTCAGGCAAATGTGGGCCACATAACAGACGTTTGCTGCATTTCAGTTATAGTCACAACAAACCTGGCTGAAGACAGTCTGCCATATTTCAGAATTTTCATTGAGCAAGAGACTTGTGATCCTGTCATATCTACAGCTGGTGCTAATTTCTAGTTATGTCAAAACCAGCATTTCTTTGCATATGACACACCTGAACTGAAATATCTGAGGTACGGGCTGAAAAGGTCACTGAAACTTTCAGTCATCTGTCTAGAAAGGACATGGATCTTCACATACGTGTCCCAGAGGAATGAGGTAAGCTGTCCTACCTCGTTTTCGTTTCACCTTTCTAAAGAATTCAGCAGTGCTGACAACATATCTACTATTGTTATAACTGCTTATTATTGCTGTGTCAAGGGATGGCTTGGGGTTGGTGTCCACAACATGAAAAAAATGTACCTTATAAGTCAGCAACAATCTAGCTTGCTTTTTTAATTTTTTTAACATACATGAAACCAGGGAATGGTTGAGCAGCCCTCTGCTTTCTGGGAATGTGCATTATTTAATTGGTATTTCACCCACCAGATAAATAATGTAATAAATCTGTTTACCAGCAGAAAAACAACACAAAATATTGGGGTGGGTGGGGTGTTGCGAGGTTGTTTTTTGTTTTGTTTTGTTTCAAAAAAGTTTACTGTTAGAAGCTTTCCTTTAGCCATGGGATCGTGATCTGGGGTATGTTTGCATGCATGTATGCTTTCACTTTTGTATGTCCCTTTTCCTAGGTGATGGTGAAGATCAGGTGAGACAGAACTGAATAAAGCCATGTTGGTGGGGAGAATTAATCCTCTTGCTTTGATTGAGGCTGTAGAAATCAATTATGTCTAGTCTGAGGGATTACTTGACTACCTTCAGATGGGACATTGATTGCCACTCATTTTCAGTGTGATTAAGTTTCACTTGAAGATGATGACTGGCGGAATCCCTGCTTATCTTCATACCTACTATTTTTAGAATAATCCACATAATGATACAGAATTAAGAAAAATAATGATGGATAAATTAATCTTTTATCTGTATATGGTGTAGGTATATCTGATATCTTTTGTAGGTGCGGCTTAACAAATATTGCTATTCTGCAGATTCTAGTCTTGTATCGAGAGGTTGGTACACATCTAAAGTGAAATCTATCCTTGATGGTTGTATCTCAGGGAACTACAGTTCAAAAACATATTAACATCTTTTCAGTTTGAGAGGAAACTTCTTTTCAATTTACACGTGGAAAAGAAGAAAAAAAATATTTTAGAGAGGACATTGGAATGTATAAGGGTTCGTGTGGTGAAAGTCAAGGATTTTGAAAAGAAAGAAACCACCCCCCCTCACAATAATGCTTCCAAGCATTAACATTGCTTGTCACTAGCAAAGATCTGTATATTTTCCCTTGGTGAATCAATAACCATTCTTTCCTTCCAGCCGTGAAGGAGCGGTTTCACATCCCAGCGCTGGGATGAAGCTAAAGAGACCTTGCTATTTCCTCTCATTTGTAGTTACTCAACGTTATAAAGAACATGGTCGTAAAGAAACTTCAGTTTATACAATTTAAGTCACAGTCGCACTTGCTTGGTCTCTCTAGAACACTCTCAAACTCTTTTATGATCGGGTTCAGAGAGAACCGTGTCACTGGGTCTGTTTCGCTGTGCGGAATCATCATACCACAGGGCAGCACATCTTAAGAAAATGTTTTGTAATGCCGTGCAGTTGCCTGGCAACCAGGTCATGGACCGTATACTTCTCTTTGCAAATGAGGGTTACACATAAGGAGACAAAACTCTTTTCTACTAGTTATTCCAAAGTTTAGCAGTTAAAAGAAATTTAATTTCCAGTTTAAGAGCAGGCCAAACGTGCTGTCTTTTGTAAGAGTATGAGATGAGTTTTAGATCGTGTTCAACTTTAAACTTCCATTTCAATTTTACTTTTGCAGACTACACTTCTCTGAATTAATTTCTCTATCCATCTGTACCTATGTGCGTATGTATTTGTAAGCATACATGCGTATTATATATATGTATATACATAAATTTACATGTAAATATACCTATATGAGTGTGTATACAAATTAAAAATTCTGGAGTGAAATTTCATCCATGGTCAGATATTACTTTGCATTTTAAAATTTGTAACTAAGAGGTGTTCACTTTACCAAAATGTCAAAGGTCAAGGCAATGCCTGTATATAAAAATAGAACACTAAATTCCTCTCATTTTCTTGCTGAAAAGCTATAGAAATGTTTAAGCCTATTTGTGTTTTAAAAGGGTCATTTTCTGCAGTAGAATGTGGTAGATCATTTTGCTAGAGTGAACATACGTACTTCATCAGATTTGATTTCTTGGTGCTTCCCTGCTTAAGACTTAAGATAGTGAAATCCAGTCCATTGTTGACCTTTCATACGGAATTTTATATACAGACAACATTTTTCATTCAGTTATACAATAACCTGTGAAGTTTGTGATTTTTTTCAGTAATAATGGGCTATGAAAATCCAAAAATTACAACGGCAGTCCAGTTCAGAGGCATGTGTTACGAAGTGGTCAGAAGGACTGACTTTTCTATTTAAACAAGAATTTCTTTGAATATGAACAGAGGATGCTCTCACTGAGTCTTAGAACATTAAACTTAAAATACACGGAGTCCTATGTCTCTGCCTGACCTTGTGGTTTTGGGAAAGCTGTCTCACTCGCACTTACTTGTGAGTACTTCAATACAAATGATATAATACACTACTTTCTATACTGTGAATATATCAATATGGGATAAGATAGTTTACTTTCATTTTTTAAGTCAGATCCTCAGATTAAAAAATGTTATAGAAGCATATGAAACATTAGGACTATTTCTTTGCTTGTTAAAAAAAATAATCAAATTTGATCTCTTAAAGGGAAGCTCCAGAAATGCATGGATTTCTGGAAAAATCTCAAAACAGTTAATAATAGAAATATCTATTTTATTTGTCTGTGTTCTATCCTATGTATTTTGAGCATTCTTTTTTCTATGTATGTTGACAAGGGGCGTCTAAGAAAAAGTCCCATTTTGGCTCCACTTAAAAATACAAAAAAAGAAAATAATTTTATGGTGAAAATAGATAGCAAAGACTGCATTTGCAATCCTACTTGGTAGTTGCCATTTAATTTTACTTTTAGTGTTTCTTTTTAAAGTTGACCAAGCAGTCAACTGCAGTTGGCACACTTGTGATTAAATATATATTAAAATGCACTGCTATGCAAGAATTATCAATTTGTTCAAATGAATAGTTAAAAAAACAAAACAAAACTTAATTATTAGTCATACCCAGAGACCATGAACTTGTTCTTCCAAAATATTCTTAAAGGTGCTGTGAATCAAGGCTTATTTTATTTGTATATATATAATTAAATATGTATATGTTATATATTATTATTATTTTTATATATGT